AAAGGCTGAGCGCCAAAGAATGGAGGCCTTTGAACTCTGGTGCTGGAGAAGACTCCTGCAAGTCCCCTGGACTGCAAGGCGATCAAACCGGTCAGTCCTAGAGGAGATCAACCCCGACTGCTCTTTAGAAGGCCAGATCCTGAAGTTGAAACTCAAGTACTTTGGCCACCTAATGAGAAGGAAGGACTCACTGGAGAAGAGCCTAATACTGGGAAAGATGGAGGGCAATAGAAGAATGGGATGACAGAGAAGGAGGTGGCTGGATGGAGTCACTGAAGCAGTAGGCGTGAGCTTCAATGGACTCCAGAAGATGGTAGAGGACAGGAAGGCCTGGAGGAACGTTGTCCATGGGGTTGCGATGGGTCGGACACGACTTTGCAACTAACAACCACCTCTGAATCCTCTGAATTTCTGCAGCCCAGATCTAATACCTGAAGCTTTATTGTAGGAAGGTTTTTAAAAAGCAGATCATGCATCAAAGAGCAGGCTTGAATCTTGGTGAAGAGGAAGCAAAAGCTCAACAACGTTGCTAAAATCCAGCTTTGTCGTTTTGCATATGCAAGAGAGGAAACGGTCCATTCCTTAAGGGAGAAAGCAGCTCATTACAAATTCCAGCAACGTTTTGGCGCCACCTTGTGCCAAACCAGAGGAATGAGCCTAACTCTCCAAGGTCAAAAGAGCTTCAGTTTATAATTGGTACAATTCACTATTGCTGCACCGATTCTAACAACCCCTCATATTAGGCAACGACCAGGATCTTCAATGTTTCCCAACCTTGGCTGTTTTAAAATGAGTGGATTTCAACTTCCAGATTTCCCCTAGCCCCTATGACTCAGATGGATTCCTCTCTGCCCCGCTTGAACCAAGAGTAATAAGCATGCACCATGAGCCTAGCGGGGTCCTTTCCTACTGTTGTCCGTTTTTCGGGTGCCTTGTCTTCTTATTCTCACGCTTCATTGGATACACCAGGATTCCTCATAGCTACCTTCATGCTCGCTGCTATTGTCAGGCAACCCTCAGAAAGTCCAAAACAATGAAAATGCAGGGGTAGCTCACTTACAGGAAGTCCTTGACTTACGACAATTGAGCCCAACATTCCTGTTAAATGAGACATATGTTAAGTGAGTTTTGTCCCATTTTGCGATCTTTCTGTTAAGTGAAGCACTGCAATTGTTAAGTGAATTTCCCCCATTGACTTGGGGTGCAAAAAAGGATCGTGTGACCCCAGGCCACTGCAACTATCCTAAATGTGAGTTGCCAAGCATCCAAATGTAAATCGTGTGACCAGTGGGGTGCTGCAACGGCCGTAAGCGTGAAAAACTGTCATAAATCACTTTTTTCAGTGCTGTTGTAATTTTTAACGGTCACTAAACAAACTGCTGTAAGTCGAGGATTAACTATTACCCTGTGTGAAGGCAAAGGGCAGATGCACTCCTTACAGAAGTCTTCCTTTTTAAAATTCTGAATTACAGATTCATGCACTGTGCTAAGCTGTAATGCAGCTGGTGTGGCTTCATGTTTTAAAACCTGACCAAAATATGATTTACTCCTCTGTGATCCAGGACAACATACAAACCAGGTTGGGGTTTCTTTACAGAGCCATCCCAAATGAAAGAGACAATAATCTCTGTAAGGTGTTTGAGCAATAGCAAGCAATAGCATTTAGACTTATAAACTGCTTCATAGTGCTTTACAGCCTCTCTAAGCGGTTTACAGAGTCAGCGTATGTCCCCCAACAATCTGGATCCTCATTTTACTGATCTCGGAAGGATGGAAGGCTGAGTCAACCTTGATCTGGTGAGAATCGAATTGCTGGCAGTCGGCAGAGTTAGCCTGCAATACTGCCTTCTAACCACTGCGCCACCACAGCTCAGGAAAAGGTGTTTTAGCCATAAGTTCTGCAAGAACTCCATATTGGACTCGGGAGGGGTAAGGAAGAGTGTGTTAGTCAGTGCCAACTGCTATCCGTTTTACTTAGTACGCAAAAGCAAGGCTTGTTTGAACCTTTTATTCTTCTCCGTACCATGGACAAAGACCAGTAACTCCTAGCCTGGCAGAGACCAAAAATAAATGAACACTGTGATTAACAGCCAGAGTGGACAGGTTAATTGTGGGTACAGCCTCATGGCACGGATTCCGATTTGAATTTGGGCATACGGATGAACAAATCCCATTTTGGATAGACGGTAGTTCTGACAGTTGGTCTCTTAGATGACAAAGTTGTCCACCTGTCCTGGATGTGACTAGAGTGCACAAGAAAAGACCAAGCGAGCCGGTTTTCCAGCCAGAGACGGTAACAGCTTTTAATTAGACAAGTCAGCACACCTGTTAAGACAAATAACTGCTTGCCTCTTTTTGGAAATTCCTTCACATACCCACCGGGGAGAACAGTTTTCCTTGAGAAATTAAAACGGTGTGCGCAAGCCAGAAGCTTCACTATTTATTGTGGGTCTGCTGTTTTCCTCCTGCTGTGACTATTTACATTACAGTACCACGTGGTGATCAACCAGGAGGCCAGGAGGAACCTGGGGGGAGGGCTTTACAATACGGACAGGTGAGCCCAAGTCCAGAAAGGCAGTCTGATTATTTATAGATTTGTACATTATACAATACATACATATATATATATAGAGGTGTGTGTGTTCACACAGATACATTGCTCTCTGAAGTATTAAAAATTGATCGGCCTCCGTTCTATAAAAAAATACCTAACTCTACAAGGTAGAAAAAGAAAAAAAAAGAGTCTTTCTCTTTCCAAGTATACACTGATTTACACCCAAAGTTTCTTCTGGAAATGTTACAGTATGTGGATTCTTCCTGCAGACTCTCTTTTTTTGGAGGTACAGAGAAATACAGGATATTAGTGTAAGAATGTTTGGGGTTTGAGAACCACTTTATAGTGGAACGACGTCTCTACGTTTCTCTGACCATTTCACCTCCATGTTCAAGCCAGTTGGACACCGTTAATAGGGGAATCTGCTGGTTTCTTTTTTAAATTCCAACATCCTGGTTCAAGGAGCAGCAAAGTAATCCAGTGGCCCAACAGTTGGATCAAGGGTGAGAAAGCAAAAGTCAGTGGCTTTGGCCCAGAGCTATTCCACCCCTCTCTCTCCCAGGGCATTTTCAAACTAGCGTTATGTGACTTTCACCATACATGAAGGGACTTCAAGAGCTCAACAGCTTGATGATTCCAAAGAAGGGAGAGGAATAGCATATGCCAGCTCTCAGCACGATCTCTTACACCCCAGGAAAATTATCTGCATGTGTGGGTCACTCAGACATAAGTCTGGTTGTCCCAAAAGTTGTGTGTCCCAAGCTGCACAATTGCTTTAGAGAGGTGGTCCCTGGAGGAGACACAGAGAAGGCATGTGCAGAAATGTACGATCTCACCTCCCCGTGGGCTTCTGAAGGTTCTCTCTAAAACAAAGCATCTGTGAAGCAGGATTCACTCGCGGGAGGTATAAGATGCCCCTTTCAAATTCCAAATAGTGGCATTTAAAATCATAAAGAACCCCCAAGAAGCAAGCCTCTTTTAAAACACATTTCAAAGGGTAGATTTAAAACACATTGAAAACCTTTTCTCTTTTTTTCCCAGGGGAAATAGCCTGCTACAGGCCAAATTCATCTTTTCCCCTAAAATCTAGGTTGGAGGGAAAGTTGACTTGTCCCCAATTGCTTGTTTATCAGACTCCCCATCAATATACGAAACTACCTCGACCGGAGGAGAAGGGAGAAGAGCAGAAGAGTTTTGTGTTGAAGCTAAACTAACAATAATAATTCGGTGTTACATTAGAGCTTGAACAGGTCCTTCTAAGCCACGTGATGTGTTGGTGCCAACAGACAAACCACTCAGTTCTTCCAGTCTGTGAGGTCTCCCCTTTCTTCCTTCCCCGTTTTTTATTATTTAACCCACACATCCGTTGCCGTGCTTGCCTTTAAAGTGGTTTAACTAACGAAGACACCAAATGAAAAAGGGTGTGAGATGAGGTATGGAAGGAACCGGTGGCCGCAAAGAGGGGTGAAGAATCAGCTCTGCTTCCACATGCGGTATCATCAGCTGAGCTTTCTCCTCCTCCAGCACAGCCATCCGCCAGCTGGCCCCCAACAACCAACTTCATCACCAGGGCTGCCACCCGCCAAATCATCCAGAAGACCACCAGGCCTGGGTTGATCTCTTCTTTTCCCCCCCCTTTCACATCAGCCCACCATAAAGCCTTCTCTGCAGAACAGCTCTCCTCCCCGGAGTACCTGCAATTCGTGAGTTTTAAGGCAGAAGACGAGCCAAGAACGGGGGGGGGGGCTCCGAAACATGCTCTGCCTTGTGCAAAACGGTGCGAGAGAGACACAGAAGCCCGCCGGAGTTCAAGGCAGCCCCCTTTTCCTTTCCACTGGCCAAAGAACCCAGGCAGCTTCAAAAAAGGAGGGTGACCGGAGGGCTGATGATGAAGGAGAGATGATTAAACAGAGAGGCCCGGGAAGGCAGGTTCAGGAAGGGATCTGAGAGCGTCTTCCTTTTACTGCCGTGCTACAACTTCCAGGTACCGAGGGATCCAGCCACCTCCCACGCGGCACAAGCCTGCTTCTGTTGCTTGTGGACAGGAGGAGTTTCCAAGAAGGCTATTTCAAGGGGCCACCCAGATTCCGCTCCGTTCCTGCAAAAGAGGGCAGGTGTATGTTCACCCCCCCCACCCTCACCCCTCGTTCTGTGACTCCCTTTCTTTTTTCTAAATTCTTTTTGACGCCCCTAGCCCAGTTCCCCAACAAGCCAGAGGGTTCCAAGACCCATTAGAATCCGGACAGCCTCACTTAATGGCTGGTCCTCTCTCTCTCTTCTCCACCCCAAGTTCACTGCGATCTGCCACCCCAACCACTCCAGCCGTGAGGTTTCCTGTGCCTCCTCCATAGAGTGAAGACTTGGCCAGTATTTCCTTCTTCCAAGGAGCAAATCCGCCACGCCCACGTGACGCTGGGTTTGTGTGGTTCTCAACTCTTTAAGTCTCCTACTTGACTTCCAGGATGGACGGGTTGGTTTCCATGATGGCCACAATGATTCGGTCAATGTAGTCTTGGAGTCGGAAGTTGATCTCTTCTTGCTTCTGGATTGCCTCCATCAGCTGGAGAGGAGAAGAATCCGGCTTATTTTTTAATTCCCCCTCCCCGCCCAAATTTTACAAAAAGTTTAATGAAAATCTGAAAATGAAAGGGGTGTCATATAAAAGGTTGAAAGGGTGAAATGTGTAGCTGGGCAGCTAAAGCATGCAGTGAGATTAGCAAAGACCAAGACCACAAAGTCAACACTTTTTTTTTAATCTTTTTCCCCTTCTACCCCACACTTTCCCCCCCTTTTTCCCCTCTCCTAGTTCCCATTGTTTTTGTTTTTATTTGCATTTTATATTCTGATAAATTAATACAATGTTGATACCTAATAGTTCTATTCTTCTTTATCCTTCAATTAAGTTAGCTGGTATACTGGTGTAAGACCCAAGCTTATTACTGGAAGACCACTCTACTATGTTCTCAGCGCAGGAATATCTAATGCCAGGCAATAAATGGGTCACTGGCTGGGATTTACCAAGTCTTTGAAGTAAAGTATTTATGGCAGAGGTGGCTGGAGGAATTATCAAGGCATCTCCAATGGGGTCTGGTTTTCTAGATCTCCAAGAGCCACTGCAGCTGATGCATTAGTCAGAAGCATTCCTCAAGCTGCAGTCTTGGAAATGCAACAGAGCTATGCAATGTTTTGGATTCCCTGAAGGACACCTATCTTCAGCTCACTAAAGCAGCCGTGTCTGTTTCCAGGGCTGTGTGGCAGCACACCCTAGAAAACAATCCCATCCTGATAGGAAAATCTACATCAGATTATCTCTCATTTGCTTTGCTATGGATTCTAAGCAGCCTTTCAGAACCGAAGTGGTTCTCATGAAACATGGGAAGAAATACAGCTAAACGTCATCAGATAAATGAAGTTTTTTTAGCTCTGAGCCAGGGCTCTCAAACTTGGCAACTTTAAGACTTGTGGACTTCAACTCCAAGAATTGCCCAGCCAGCATGGCTGGCTGAGGAATTCTGGAAGTTGGAAGTCTACAAGTTTTAAAGTTAAAAGCTTTGGACAGCCTTCCCCAACATGGTGTTTAAAAATACACCTGGGGTTAGAGAGAACTCCATGCGGAATCTCTCAGGACTATATAAAAAAAAAATGAAATGGCCTGGAGGTTTTATACAGCCTTGGTCTATGGGCTATATCCCTTCATAGTAGGCTCACCTAACTTTCCAAAATCAGTGTTATGAGGAACTCTGTTGAATGTTATGAGTTCCTAAAGAAAAAAAGGATCTGGTAAATCCTTCAGTTTTATCAACAAGATAAACAGAAATCCTTCAAGCGTCTGCCAAAACCAAAGTAGCCCTTTCTGATGTGGATTCTCTAAATTGCCTCTCCCAACACACTCAGCTCCACCTTTGTTGCTTGCAGGGAAATAGCCCCGGGAAAGTCCCTGTGAAGTTGCCACATTTACCTCATCTCTGGAGACCAAGCTGATTTCCGCAGCCAGAGATTCAGAGAAGGAAGCAGAGAAGAGATTCTTGGCACCTTGGATACTGAGGTTTATGATCTGCCCATTCAGCTCGTCATTCTGTTCCTTCAAGATTCGGTTGTCCTATGATATATAATATTACTATTTTAAAGGATTTATACTGTTTTAAAGGACGTTAAAGATTGTATTTAATGGGTTTAAGATATGATTAATAGTAATAAGACTAGTTGCTAATTTTCATTTTTTATTTCTGTAGAAATGGCTAAGTTTAATTTTTAGATATTTGGATTTGGGGACGATGTATAATTATATTTTGATTATTTGAGCTAAAGTTTTTTTTTTCTTTCTTTTATGTGTGCCTAATCCTGTAATTAATTCTGGGAAGTCGGGGGTGGGGATGGGTGGTGGGGGAGGGAAGATGGGTAGATATACTAATGTATGTTTATAATTGTATTTGTATGGGGGGTTCAAAATTAATAAAACTTTTTTGAGAAAAAAAAAAAAAAAGATTCGGTTGTCCTGTTTGCCAAAGAAAATCCCCCTATGGTCACACGGGTTTCTGCTTTAACTGGGAGGCCAGAAGTGGCTGCCTTCCACAGAGGCCAACCACCAAGAGCTCTTTTGACCAAGGTTCTCTCTGTTCGAATCTTTCCCCAAGTCCTCACCCCACGATTGTTTTAACTAGACCAAGGGTAGGCAACCTTGGCTCTTTTATGACTCGTGGACTTCAACTCCCAGAATTCCTGAGCCAGCATGGCTCAGCTTGGAAACCTCTCCTTTCCCGTCAGCATGGCTGGCTCAGGAATTCTGGGAGTTGAAGTCCACGAGTCATAAAAGAGTCAAGGTTGCCTACCCCTGAACTAGACGGTTGCCCTTGGCATATCAAGCACTGGAGAAATCAGGAGATTCAGGCAGTTTCAATGAGTATCAAGATTTATTCCAAGTTTAAGCTCTCTGCAAGATTGGTGGCTAAGGGAGATAAGAGAGGCATTCAAGGTGGGCTGGACTTAGATCTCTTGCGGGTGTGCAGGGACTCTTCACTAATGACAAGTTTGACCCCTCCCTCGGGCTCAGCCTGGTCATCTCCTACATGGGATCTTCTGTAGGCTCCAGCTCTCCCAGTAACCCATGCTAGCTGGGGAATTCTGGGAGTTGAAGTCCATACACCTTAAAGTTGCTAAGGCTGAGAAACACTGCTTTAAGCCGATACCCACAGCTCATTCCTCCAAAGATCACAGAATGAACACTACTGCACGGAGCCACAGGTGTTAAGAGCTTCCCTGCTTCTCTCCATCCCCTAAGATAACTCCAGCAATGCCATCACAAGTGGAAAGTTCCTCGACTGCCCCACGTCTACAGTTTGTCTACCTGCTTGAGCCGTCTGATCTCTTGTTCCAGTTCATTCTCTCGCGCCCGGCTGTTGTATTCCTGCAGGCCGACGCTGCTGCTCCGCCCTCTTCGCTGCTCGGCTTCCAGCTTAAAGAGCTGCAGGTGTTCCAGCTGTTTCCTGAGGTCCTCAATCAGCTGCAAAGGCAAGCAAGCAAGATCAAGACCAACGGCCTTTGCACTCAGTTCACATGCTGTATAAGAAAAAGTCAGTCAGCAGAAAGCATAGATGTCCCAGCCAGGCCAGGATTCTGTTCACCCTTTCCAAGCCATCTTTTTGGCCATTTAATCTGAACTGCACCCAGAAGGAGGCCATTTCTGCTGAGAGACATAGCCCCTCTATTCCCTGCAGCTATCCTGCACTGAAGGGAGCTGATGGCAGACTGCAAATGGGCTGTGTCTGCAGAGGGATGAAAATATTTCATTCAATAATTGCTGTCAAAGGCAGGGCTTTTCAACCTTTTCACCCACTGTACCATTTTTAGGATATGGCAACATCCGAGGACCACCAGTCGCCTAGCAAGGGGTCAAAAACTTGATGACCAAAAAAAAAAAAAAAAGGAAAAAAGTGATAAAGTACAAGTAGTCCTCGACTTACAACAGTTTGTTTAGTGACTGTTTTGAGCTCCTGGGAACCAGCGGTGGCCCTTCTCACCTCTTGCGTGGACTCTTTATCTTTCTGGAACTGGTGTCTCTCGTGGTTCAGCTTCTCCCCCAGCTTTCTCTTGTTCTCCTGCTCTTCCGTGAGCTGAACGGTGAGATCTTCAATTTCGTCCAACAACTTCTGCTTCTCCTAGAAGGAAGAAAAAGAAGGAGCACAATGAAACTGGGAATCTTCTAGCACAGGGCTTTTCAACCTTTTCACCCATTGTACCACTTTTAGGGTATGGCAACATCCGAGGACCACCAGTCGCCTAGCAAGGTGTCAAAATCTTGATGACCCCAAAAAAGGGGAAAAACTGATAAAATAACAGGTAGTCCTCGGCTTACAACAGTTCGCTTAGTGACTGTTTGAAGTTACAATGGCACTGAAAAAAGTGCCCCCCAAGCCACAGCCGAGCAAGACACCTGCCTGCCCGCCCGGCGGCGCTCTTCCTCCTGTCCGAGGTTTCCATTGTGAGCATTTCTGTTGAGGATTGGCAGTGGGGGTGGGGTGGGGGGGTGTTTGGTTTTTATTCCCCCCGTCTTCTGGGTGGTTGCAGCAGGTTTTGGTCACTTCACATGACCCTGGGACACTGTGACCGTCATAAATATGAATCGGTTGCCAAGCATCTGAATGTAAATCACAAGACCCTGGAGATGCTGCAACATTCCAGCTGATCGGTGCTTCTTCTGGACTCAGCAGAAGTGCCAGGATCAGTGCCCATCTCCAGCTGGAGCCTGGCGCTGATCCTGGCGCTTCCGCTGAGCCCTGACAGCCCTCCAGCTCCAGACATCTCTCGCTCAGGCTTGTGCGGTGCTGCCACCGGTTCAGCTCATTCCCCTCCCCTGCTACCACTTTTCTAGGACGGTCGCGTACCACCTGCCAGGTGCCAATGTACCACAGGTGGTACCCGTACCACTGGTTGAAAAGCCCTGGTCTAGCAGCTTCATCCCCGGCAGAAAAAGGCTCAGATCCCTCAGGGCCTAAAGCACAAGGTTGGCCTGCAAACAAACTAGGTTTAATCTCACCCCACCTGACTTTACCTGCTGTCTGTGGGAAAGCAGAGCTGGACCGAGAAATTGTGCTAGCCGAGGCCAACACCTGTCCCAGCTGTTAAACAGAAACTACTGAATTCTTTTACATGGGGGGGGGGGGATAGAACTCGCTGAGAGCAGCAAACTCAGCTAGCCGGTTGGCCAGAGAATTGTCCCCTCCAGTCCTCCTTTCCCGTTCAGCGGCTGCCATCTGCTGCCTCTGTTCTGCCCAACAGTAAGGACTAGAGAAGAGTCAACAAAGCCTTGCAAGCTGCCAGGAGATGCTCCGGGAGGACATTAAGCAATGCTGCTGGTGACTGCGAGATAATGAAGGATTCATCTCTGCAAGACTCCCAGGGCCCCATCATAATGTTCTGGGATACTGCAAAGGCTTGCATTTCATCTGGGTTTAATAATACGGGGCAATATAATTGCTCCGTCCCTTGATAGCTGAAATGGGGTGGGGAGGAGGAGGAGGAGGAGGAGGAGGAGGAGGAGGAGGAGGAGGAGGAAATTGCCTAAAAGAATAAAGCGCTCACCTCCTCCAGCCTCTCAATGTTGGCTTTGAGGCAAGGGACGCAAGACCGAAGTTCTCCATTTTCGTTGTCCAGTTGATGCAACCTGCATATTTGCATAAAGGCATGCTTAGAAATCGTACTTATTTATCTATTTAAAGCATTCATCTAGCTTCCCATCTTATGCCAAACTTTTGAGTGGCTACCGGTAGAAAATCAAAACAATATCTGTAATAAAACATAAAACCCACATTAAAACTATATAAACCATGAACATTAAAAACAAAAAACTTTGCACCAAGTTAAAACAGAAATATAATATGGAACGTTATCCCAACAGAGCTGCATAACGCCCCTGGATTCTAACTAATCAACCCTATTCAAAAATTTGCATCCAAAATGCAAAACAGGAAGCGACTGCCAACCCTCCCTCCTGCTGTTTTTCATATGACCTATATTAAAATTCCCATTATTCTTTTGGGATTTTTCCATATTCCGTGCAGATTCTGCAGACTGCTGGAAAAAAAATGGCTCTTCCCACAGAGGTGAAGGCAATTATGCTTCCTAGCCAAACTTTTTTTCCTCTTCTTTTGTTCAATTAAAAACATTTTAGCCCAAATCTCCTGTAATCGTTCCCTTTGCAGAGCTAGAAATCTAAATGTGTCAGGTGTAGAATTTGACACCTGTGAATTAAGAGCGAGTGAACATTGTGGGAGGGGGCTCAATACACCAAATGCAGAAATCTCCCCCCCCCATCCTGTCTGTCCCAAATGTTCCACCAACTGCATCGAGCAGATACAATATTTTTTTTTTTAACCTCTGTAAGGATTATTTCATTAGCATCAGGAAATCACGTGACACACAAATGACAATAACCCATCACTTCCACGGACTGGGCCATCTTACTGGGCTTGTAGGTTTTCAATCTCCATGCTTTTTTCTCGTTCCATTCTGCTGAGCAGGTCTTTCTGTTTCCGGATTTCGTCCATAAGGATTTCATCAGATTTCATCTCTTGCTCTTTCAGCTGCTCTTCCAAGGCGTTTGCCCTGTCCGGAAGAAGCGGGGTTTCAAGTTTAATGCCACTTACTGTCCCATGAAAACTCACGGTCTGTGGCACGCGGACTCAAGGGAACTAGAGAGGTGTTTATTTGGGATTCACAAATTCCGAGACTTACGTGTGGATTTCTTGCAGGCATTATAAAGCAATTCCCAATTTGGGAATTTTTGGCGCATGATCGACCGACATGGCGTACCCTGGTTTACCAGGGTTGCCAGACATATGAACACAGGAGGACAATCTTGGCACAAGAGAAGCGAGCACTCCGTAAAGCCAGAGCTGCAAATGCTGAAGCAA